GATTTATTTTGCTGCATGTGTGCTTAGGCTTATTTATCTGCTCAGGCATACAATAGATAGCTTCTGTAGATGGAGTGAAAATACCAAAGACATGTAGATACATGAAGATAATACATGAGAAAGCCTTACAAAATTCACAGGGCTTCTAAAAGAAACATCAAGGTTTAGTTTAGCTTTTCTAAGAACAGGAATTACTAAATATAAAGTACCTTCTATATTTGGGATTGAAATAACTTTATATTGACCCTAAGCAAGGAAGCTGTAAGATACAGAAGGTATCTGGAAAAATATGATCCTAAGTGATCCAGAAATACTAATGATAGCAAGCTGCTTTGTAGTGGCTTAGCACAATTTTCTTCTAAGACATACAAATTAAGGAAGCTGTGGGGCTGAATGTGTTCTTTCAGCTTAGCAAGCTGCTGAACACAACACTGGGGGTATTTCCAGTAGGCAGCATGTGAACTTAAAATCCATGTAAAAATAAAAATTATTGTGCTTTTTCAACAGAAAATAAATGCAGGGGTGATACACCACACAGAATCCTCAGAAATGGCAAAACAAAAGAAGCTCAACAGAATGGCACCAGCTGTTACTCTGCATAATTTAAGATATAATAGTAATATAACCAAGGGTTTTTTTTCAAGACAAAATTATTTGAATTTCATGAATATGACAAATCCAAAACAGCACTGACATGCAGCCTAGAATACTAGATGATGGATTACTGAGAAACATAATTTTCACTTTAATAGAACAACAGCATGCACATAATTCTATCCCCCAGTGCTTTGCTGGAACAGCGAATTTAGTCCAAAACTACAGCCTTGAGAATCTCGATACAAATCTATCACCAGAACTGGAATGAGTGCCTCATTTGAAAGGTAAGGATTCTCTGTGCATATTAATTTGTTTAGAAATGTACAGTATCACTGCATGGGCTCTGGCCAGCATGCATACCAGCAAAATGCCTGATATTGGTCCTCATGAAGTCAAAAGCAATGTTTCCTTTTACTTCAGTTCAGATGCAAAAAGGCCAGTAAGTATCCAAATGGAACTTTATTAAAATGACACGTACACTTTCTAGTAGTGCCAGTTAATTTGGGGCGAGGGGTGGATTTTTAAGGGGAAAATCCATTACATAGGTTTAGCATTTTCTGTTCACTAATGAACACCCTGCTGTATATGTATTTTGTTCATCCCCGTAAAAAAAAAAAAAAAAAGGCATATGAGATAGCATTTCTTCCAGAAACGCTACACTGAAATTCAGTCAAATTAAAATAAAGTGAAATAATATATATGACATTCTTGGGCTATTCCAAGAAAAAAACTACTTGACCTCTGACAAAAAAAAATGAAATAAAAAAAGACAGAAACTCTTTATCAGGCACATGAAGAAAAGGACACTGTAAGAGTGTATCCTTTGATATGTCTGTCAGTAAAAGTTTTTTCACCTTAACTGCATTTGCAGAGGGAAAGATCATTTACGAATTAGCTGTTTCCAGAATTCACAGTTTAAAGTTTGGAGCCTGAAAGACTTCGACTCCTAAAACGTGTTTGTATTTCAAACTTCTGTATTTTATTCTAATAGAATTTAAGTGTATATCATATACATTCCTAAAGTCTACTCTTATTAAATTTTGATGTTAAACAGAAAGGGGAAACCACTTGCAACTAGATTAATTTGTCTCCAGGGAGCAAGGACACATTAATAATTGAGATAATGTTTTCATATATGTTGGAATCAAGTGTGCCTTTTCACATCTTTATTAGAAAACACATTAGGGGAAAATTATCTCATTCTCATCAGAAAGGCCTAATTGCTGAGAAAGTCTCTGTTTTCTTTGCAATAACAAAATGATTATTCTCACTACTTCAAAATGAAAAAAGAAAGATCAGAAATATTATCAAGCACTGCTGGAATAAATGCCTGTATTACCAAAGAGAGTGTTTACTTAATACACCCAGTCCTGTTTTTGTTTTAAACAAATCAGAGTTTATTGTATTTTTATAAAATACAAGCAAACTCTGGACTGAATAGAAGTGGGCCAAAGGGGGGAAAAAAAGCACTACAACTGAAAATGACTAATATTTTTGGCTTTCTGAAGGGCTGATCTTTCTGTAAGTTATAAAAAATTATCTTGGCTGATTGTGAGAGAACTCTATAATTTCCCATGAACACCCATAGGTGTCACGGCCTGTTGTGAGGTAATGGAATGGTATGCAATTTACTCTGAATCATTGTACATTATGCTGTATGGATCACATACAAAGCAAACATCGAGGGCATGGTGGGAACACTCGTGCAGGCAGACTGAAGCATATTTCCATAGTGTTGAACTATATGTCAAATGCAGCACTTCTGATGTTTCCCACAACAAAGAGTAGAAGAAAAGCCACTAAAATTATAACTACACTTAGAAGACTTTGCAACAGCCCTTCAATTTGTCTAGTGTACACTGAAAACAAAGAACTGTAAACTAAAACGAGTATTTATAAACTTTATTTTACAGTGCCGAGACAAAAATATTAAAATGTTATTTACGATACCAAGAAAGAGAAGTTTTCTCTATAAGGTCCATCAGAACCTAAGGCTGAATAGCTGGTCTGTGGACAGACTTGTATTTGTGCCTATCTTGAAAATACTGGTAGAAGAGAATTGATTAAAGCCACAACATACATCACCTAGTCCCAACCCCCTCTGCTCTAGGCAGGGACACCTCCTACTAGACCACATTGCTCAAGGCTTTATCCGGCTTTGCTTTGAACACTGCCAGGGTTCTGGCACCCACAACCTTCCCAGGCAACCTGTTCCAGTGTCCACCCCCACAACATTTAAAAAAAAAAAAAAAAAGAGATCAGGTTTTGTGAAATCACACACACTTTCTGATTACTTTCTTTTTCTATATATTTTCTTTATTAAACATTAGTTCTCTGCTAGATAAAGCATACCAAATTGAAAGCCAAAACAAATGAGAAACTGCCAAAACTTTTATCTAGAGCTTGGAGTGTTTCTTTGCTAAGTTGTTGTCATTAACAGAAATAATTCAAGCCCATGCGCTGCCCAACAATACCTTAATAATAAATTATTATTTTTAAGATAATTCACTTAAAATACATGCACTTACTTTGCAATGCAACAGGAAATCTGCACTGTGTGTTAAGAACAGAAGAAAAATCCCCCACAAAAACTCAGCTGACACCCACCGATGGCCTGAATCTGGCACAAAATAGTTCTATTTCTTATTTTTGCCTAACATTTTTCTTCTTCGCTTTTAGGTCTAAAAAAACTCCAAACAAAACCAAACAACAAACCCTCACTTCTTTCATTGCTTTAAAACAGTTTTTAAGTTAACCTGAAATATGACCAAAAGATTCTTGTCTGTTTAAAAAAGGTATTGTCAATATTTGCAACCTGCGCAGAACGGATTCACAATAATAAAAAAGTCTATAATGTAAACATATAAGGACAATGTAAAATTCTCTAACTCCATTTATTCTATCTAGATTTCAAAATTTTATACATTTTGTGGATCTGGCAAGCTGATTTTATTATTACATTTCCTGTTAATTAGCACAGTCTAAACCACAAAACCCTCTTCACAATTAAAATAAAAGCCTCCAACATCATTATAGAATGTTCCATTAAAAAAATTTGATTACTAACATATCCCAAAATGTCTCATTATAGTCACTGGTAGGAACAGATTTAAGTCCAAATTACCAATAACCGCTACACAAGAGACATTCCATCTCCACTGGAGGCAGCAAAAAAACTCCCAATGATTACAAGTTATCCGGTTTTACCGAGTACATTTAGGTGCATTCTGGGGCTGATGCTTTACTCTTTAATGTGAAAATCTCCTTGCCACAATGACTCTTTTGGGAAAATACTCGGAGACAAAGACCCTGAGGCATTATTTACTATTTCTTTGAATACAGCAAAATCATAGGGGCTCCAACTGCTCCACAACGTGAAATTTCTTTAAAAAATACATTCACTTTTACTGTATAGCCAAAGAAGACAGCAAAAACATTCTTCGCATCTTCATAGACTCCTTACAATATGAAGATTTTGATTTGGTCTAGATGAGCAAATACCATCTGCAGGTCTATGGGCATGTTCTACTGACTTCCCATAGAGGTTAGTCTCAAGGCAAGCAGAAGCTGCATCTACAGAGCACTAAGCCAAATTAAGAAACCACATCTTCCAGCACAAATCAAATAAAAAACAAATGGCAAAGGACTAGGAAAACAGTAAGCTGTTTCTGTAAATAAGTACTGACACATAGCTAATATACATTTTCCATAACAGTTATCACTGTTACACTAAGACTGTGACATGCAAAAAAAAAAAAAAAAGTAAAAAAAGAAACCATCTTGAGGGATCTAAAAGTGGTTTTCACACAAAAATACTGGAAGCATCATTAGGGGAATGCATGGTTGGTACAGGACCCAGGCTGAACTAAATTGTGAACAAGTACTAACACCTTCACTGTGCAAAGAGCAAGGATAGGCTGTAGAATAGACTCCTGTGCTTGTTTCAGCAGACTTCATGGACTAACTGTGGGCCACAATGGTGGTGCAATACGCCATCTCAACCCATGTCTGCTACTCAGACTAAGATAATACAACTGGTGCTGTGACCTGAGAGCTCCATCAGCTCTTGTTAGTCAGGTCAAAATGTAGACAGCATTGCAAACTTCAGACTTCTCTGGCCGTGTCTGTCCACTCCACATTACAGCACCAGCAACAATTTGCTCTTCTTCTGCAAACCAGTTGGAGATCTGTGGTGTCCACTGGTTTTCTGGATACCTCTAGTGCAGCAACCCTTTTGCTTGCACTGGCTACATTTTCAAATCTGCATGCTCAGTTTACTTCAGTTGTGGGTTTGTTGGGTTTTTTCTCATGGTTAGCGGATGGTGCTAGTACTACATACAGTTACACTCCACTTCTACTTCAAAATGATCAAATTTGAAGAGGAAGGAAAGATGGTAACTTACTTCCCAGAGATGCTGCGTGTTCCTGATGGTGCCTGCTTGCACCTTCTCTGGCAAGAGCAGGATTCCCTGGAAGGGCCCGATCCAGGTGCCCTGCTGGATGCGCTGCGCCGCACAAATGCCGTAGGCCAGGCCAGGCACTGTGCTGGTGCACAGACACACTTCCCGGGGCAGGTCCCGGAGCCACTCTGGGATCTCAGGTGGAGGGGCTGCTGCGGCTGCACTGCTGGTGCCCACCAGCCGTCGCAGGGAGTGGAGGGGCCCATGCATAGGGCACTCGCCATTGCGGTTATCAGCACACATGTCACATCCTGAGGGGCAAAGAGGGAAAAACACTATCAATACAGTGCCGCTGGCCACCACCATCACCACCACCGTGGGCAAGATCATTCAGATATCTACGCTTTTCCTTTCATTTCATAGCAGCTCAGCAAGCATACACACTGCACCATTCTACATATTGCTTAGGATGGTTTTCCTAATCTTACCATAGCCCTAAATAAAAAATTCCAAATGCTGACCAGAAATCCTGCAGACATTTTGCAAGCCTGGTGTGTTCACAGACCTGACAAGACTCGTTTATTTTAACACAGTTTTTTAAGATTCATTTTTTGATTAAACAAATATCCCATTTAAACCATTCCAGTGTGTTTCAGTGAGACATTTTAAAACAGTCATTAGTGCCTTATGTGTCCCCCTCATCTGTCTCACCGCAGCTCAGCCCAATGGTTTAATTGGAACAGGATTTAATTTAATCCTTATTTTAAATGAATATTCACTCTGCTTTTTACATTAACATGTGTGTGCATGCCTGCCTGTTTAGAAAATAAATAAAACAGAACCTCATAAATGACAAATCTGAGTACGCAAGGACATTTACTTTCTTAAAGCTGAATCTCATCTTCAAACAAAAATTATGTGGCAAATATTACTGATTCCTAGCACACACTTGAAATATTTTTATTGAATGGGAATGCATATTCTTTGCCTGTTACATGTAGCTGAGGTTAGGAAAACAAGACAAAACAAAACAAAAGCAAACAAACACACAAACCAAGCATATCTAGTTTTGTGAGCAACGCCCATGAAAAAAAGATCAGTTTGTAAAAATGTTGATTTTCCTAACTGCTGTTAATAATGGATGACATGTCTCTATTTTGGGAAGATCCTGTCATGATTTTTCTTTCCTGAATAAAGAAAACTTTGGTTAAATATTTCCACTCTACACTCTTGCACATGCCATGAATGCATGACTTCCAGGAAAATGTTTCATGTTAAAGAAATCTATTTCTCTGAAGATATGCTGAGTTAACGTAACAATAAATCTATTGAAATAAGTTACTGTCTTCTGCACATTTCACTTTTGTGGCAGACTAAAGGTTTTCATTTAAATATATTTCAGAAATACAAAGAAAAATACCTAGTAACTTTGCCATAGAACTCATGTAGCAAGTCCTACAACTTTCCCCTAATAATTTTATATGACTTACACCCCTCCTTATACAAATAGAGCACAGTATTCACTAGAGGAGCTGGAGTTTCTTGGTCTGTGCCACAGATTTAGACTTGCTAGATTGCCTGTAACCACAGTTTCAGTTCTCAGGGGGCCTGACTCAGATGTTCTTCTTTCCAAGGTGGATGTACTATGTACTAAATAGGCCTCTTTCCTCCAGATCTTTCAAAGGCAAACTTTCCTCTCAATTCAGTAAAAGCTGGTAAAGGATAATAAAAGATGCATTTTCAAAATACAG